GCTGGAAAGCAGGTTAGTGGGATGAGGAAGGAATGGAGATTTTGCAGTATCCTTCCCCTGCCACGCCCACCAAGCCACACCACCAACCCACACCCACAGAATCAGTAGTAAAAAAAATTGAATCCTACCACTGGAATAATGGCCCTTTTATGCCTTGTGGGCTTCAACTCCTGAAGTCCACAAGGCATAAAAGAGCATCATTCCCCACCACTGCCTTAAACCTCTGACTAGACTAGAGTTTATTAATCAGGTGCCAATTTTTGTGACATACAGCCTTTTCCCGGTCAAAGTTGTGAATTATAAATCTGTCCATTATTTCCCAGTATAAAATGTTTAAGAGATAAGCAAAGCCAGCAATGCTGTTTTTGGACTGAGGTCACCAAGTGAAAACAAAATACAAAACATACAAAATTCTGGAATGTGGTTGAAAATATACCTTCTTTTCCCAAAGCCTTCTTAGGACAGCTGGAGAAAGTCTGCTCCCACTCTGAAGGATAAAATATAGGTCCATAACTAGTAGGCAATTAGAGTTTCCTACAAAAATCAAGGATTAGAAGACTTCGCATACATCAAAACTGCTTCAAGATGAGACAAGTACTTTTATTGGATGGGAAGAGGAATGCAATGAAGGAAGCAGACTATAGACATAAGTAAATAGACCTATTCACACTAGAGCAGAAGTGGGGAATGATGTCCCCTTTATGACTTGTGGACTTCAACTCCCAGAATTCCTCAGCCAGCATTCTGGGAGTTGAAGTCCACAAGTCATAAAAGGGCCAGCACTACAGTAGTAGTGCAAATGGTACTAGCCAGTAACTGACTCTAAACAAAAGATATTTTTATGAAAGTCAGAGAAGATTTTCTTTCTTTTTTAATGCCATAGAATGTATTTATGTAGTAAACCATTTATATGGTAAACAATTTATATAGGGGCGTGCATAAGTGCACCATCATGCCTCCCGTCCCTGTTCTATTGTCCCCATTTATTTGTACCTATTTCCTGTATTCTTACTCATGTTTATACTTATACCTATTATCTTGTAAGCGATTGACAAATAAAATAAAACAAATAAAATATAGCCACCCTACTCAAACAAAGTGACTTTGGGTGATGTACAACATAAAAATCCACAGTTTAATGATCCCAAAACCCCACCCCCATCCCATGGTGGCAAGAACACAATCAGACATATTTAGAGATGAGATTAGAATTATCTTTAATCATCTCACTGACATTAAATTTGCATTTCCTTCTCTGTTCATGGTGTTAACGTACTCAGAAACCAATCACAAGAACTTAATTTCTGTTAATTCAAGAGGTAGAAAAGGTAGAAATTTTCCTTTTTAATGCAAGCCATACGTCTTTCTGAACATTTCAAAGGAAATAACTATAAACTTCAAAGCAGGGGTTGGTTTACTGTTTTACTTCAATTAATAAAAGTCAGGATATTCACATATGGTTACTAATTGTAACAGTGCTAATTGAAATTATTTTCTCAGTGATAAAAAGTAGCGACCTGACCAAGAACTTTGAGGTAATTTATCAGGTGGAAACAATGAATGGAAAGCAAACTGCAAAACAAATTATGAACGATAACATTCCTCTTTTTGGGAAGACCAAGAATGCTGTGATTTGATGGAACTGACGAGTTCCTCAAAAAGAGGACAGAAATTAAAAACTAACAGACACCACAGTGTATGAAATGATCTATGGAAAGGATAGAAGCAATTTGCAAGCATAGAAAGATGGACTGAATGGCGTTGCTGTAAAGTAGATATGGCTACAGTTTCTGCACATGTCACGTCTTTAACATTTTTTGCCTATTACTTTCTGGCTGCTTTACTGTGTTTTCTCTCTCTCTCTCTCTCTCTGTGTGTGTGTGTGTGTGTGTGTGTATCCCACTGAATCTAAAATTAATTCCATCCAGAAGAGCAATTAGATGTAAAAAGCTTCAATTATCTTTCTGACCTTATTTTAAATACATCTCTATTGAGTGGAGCTCATAACTCAAGTGTTTTGTGGCATATCTAAATCTTAGTCCAACTCATTATGGGTATCACTATATAAATGATTATATTTCTTGATAAACTGTTTGGAGTAATGACAGTCATTAGTGCATAGGAACTGTTCCAATATTTAAATTTTCTATAAACTCCATCCTTTCATCCGTGATCAGAAATAAAGCAGGGGAGAACTGCTGTTGTGCGGCAATCTGTAGGCTTATTTATATAAATAAATATATGGGTGTAATATAGCAGAATAAAAAACTTGAAACAATGCAAAACAATATACAAAGTTAAAAATTCTTCCCCCAAGATGGACACCTAAGCAATTACTTGGATTTAAAAATTTGGTAGAAGAGCAATTTTGCCTGCTTTTCAAAATGCTATGAACAATATGCTGGGTGAACCTCTGGAGGTAGAAAGTTCTAAGTGTGAATGCCCCAAAAGAAAAGATATTTATATTGCTTATGCTGATTATGTTGAAGATGTGATCCATGACCTCCAAGCAAGGTTGCCGAGCTGGAAAGGGGGAACCAAATTTCTGATTCCCATTTCCCTGGAATTGCTACTGAAATACAGTCCTGCTACATTTCTCTTTGCCTATCATACTGGACATTGATTCATTATTCTCTTGATCTCCCCTAATGGTCTCCCAAATTCCCAGTTTGGAGCATCCCACCAGGGATTTCTGGTTACCTCCTTCTTAAGCAACATCATAGCTACCGTCCAACACTTCTCATACTCTTATGGGTCCCCTCTCAAATTAGGGCTTATAGATTGAGGGTGGACCTTCTTGTATTCTCATGAGTCCCTTAAAAGGATTAAAATATCGTTCCCATCATCAATCAATCATAGCAGAAGACATAGAGAATCATGGTCAGCACAGATATGCAATGGCTTCTCTACATCTCCAAACAGACCTTTTACATGGCGACAGGCTTCAGCTGGAGCAGAAAGCAGTAGCTCCAACTGGGACAACATGGGCTTCCCGATTACCAACCCAATAAAAGTGACAGACACTTCTGCTCTTTTTAGCCTTTTCCTGGTCAAGGAACAAACAGCAGTAGATGACAAGAAATGAGATACATTGCGTATGAGATTCATACTGAAGTCTTAGTAAAAATTTAATGCAGGAAAAAGGAGTTCCAGAATATTGGACTCTATTTCCCATGTACCAGTGATCATTAAGGCAGAGTCTCTGATTTGCTCTTCTTTTTCACAAACTCCTTAATGATTGGAATAATGATTCATTTAGGAGATAAGTCTGGAATGTCCACCTGGTTCTTGTCTGCCATATTTGAGAAACATTTTTCTTCTTACATATACAACAGAATTCTATTACAGTTTAACTCTGTGTGACAAAAATTGCAGGGCATCTGATTCCTAGCAATTGGAGTAGAGGTTAACAGTGGACATCCTGAGTACCATTACCCTCCCTTCAATGGGGCAGGGAACTTCTCCCTGGGCTTGGCAAGATATGCCAAAAAGCACAAGCCTACTTTTTTAAAAGTCGATAAAAGCAGTTTGATGTTGCCAGAGATCCTGCTGTTCAAACGCCTCAAACATTGTGACATCTATTCCCAAAGAGCCATGTAGAGAGATAGAGCCCAGAATTTCAGTGATATATGTGTAAATGGAACTAGAAGCCCAGCTGCTGAGAAAACATCCAGTTTAAGACAAACTGTTCTGTTTCATCTAAAATTCCAGAAAAAAGCTATTCTTCTGTATACACCTTTCTCTTGAAACAATTTACACACACCAATATATGCATGTATACTCGCTCAACAATTTCTATGTGTTTCTGTTTGATTTTTAATGTAAGTTTATCCATTTCTGCACAGTCTAGTATCTTATTATCTCTTCATCTTGCGGTGTTTCTTCATCTTTTCAGTATTGCGCTGCTGTTAAGACATGTAACACTAAATACATACTTTTCTTATTATATTTTTCTGGTATCATCCCTAATAAAAATAGTTCAGATTTAAAATCTACATGTTTCCCTATTATCTTTTCTAGCCATTCTGTGTATTTTTGTCCATTTTTTTTTTTTTTTTGGTTTTAGCAGAAGTCCACCACATATGATAAAATGTGCTCGTCTTTTGATTACATTTCCAACATTTGCTAGATATATTTTTAAACATTTTAGCTAACCTAACAGGTGGTAAATGCTATCTATAAAACATTTTATATAGATTTTCTTTATAAGAAGTTGACATTGTTAATCTATAGTTCCTTTCCCATAAATTTTGCCATTTTTCTAATTCTATGTTATAGCCAAAGTTTTTCCCCCCATTATGTCTTTTATTTGTTCATCCTCCATTTTAAAATTTAGCAAAAAATCATATACCTTCTTAATTTTTTTATCAGTATCTTATCAACAGAAGGAAGACACAGAATATTATCAAACATGGAACTTATTTTACCAGTGGTTGGAGAAAAAGGGTGGAGAGTAAGAATGGAATCTGTATTGTTAAGCAAATTAAATACCCAGATAACACCATGTTCATTAAGCACTAAGAAATGTAATTAATAGAAAATTAATAGATTTTTCTTTTTAAATCTGTGTGAATGGCAAACCATATTAGCCCAAGCCATCCACTGTTGTCCTTAATGCACATATTTTTTTTGAGACAGTAGCATATAAATAAATATATGAATACGACAATATGAACAGTAGGTTTATACAAAATCTTCTAGTATTTCAGGAACTCTCCCAGAACATGATAATCCATTCAATTTAGGAATAGTGCAGTAGTTTTCTGGAAGTTAATCCTCCAAATCAGAAGCAGATTTTGCTTATGCCTAACAATACATCATCTAGTATTTTTGGATTATTATTTGCAATAATGATATTAAAAAGTTTAAAAGTTCATTTTGAAGACTATAGAATTGGCCTGATTTAGTAAAATTTCCCAAATTAAAAAGCAAAGCTGTTTTACTTTGATATAAGGCTCTCAAACCAAAAATTTGGAAGGGAAAAAAAAGCAAGTTTGTACCTATTGTTCTTCGAAGATCTTCACACTGGCTAATATGAGGAAACTTCAGGATTTCCTTCCATTTTTTGCTTTTACCTTTACGCTTTCCTCCACCTCCTGCAGAAAAAGAAAGGATTCTGTTATTAAAGTTTGTTATTATAGCTAATTCTCATTTTCCTTATACCCTGTCTCTCTCCAAAACACACACGCTCCAGCTGTTGTTTGGTACATTCATGTATGCACATGTTTTACAATACCCATTGTTTTCAGTATCATAAACTGACTGATGGGGATTTCTAGGACTCTGATTATAAAGATGTGCAACAGTTATTGGGCAACTATAAACACTTCCTCCTGTTGTTCCAAAAATAAGCAGAATAGCCAGTTGCTGCATAGACAGCCATCTGTATAACAGGAAGCAGCCATATGCAGGAAAACTGTGCTCTGTGTTTGCGCGCACACACACATACATCTATTTGCCAGTCAAACTGGGAGCATTATCCAAAATCTTGTGCCTCATCTATTGAACAATGAAGAATTTCTTCCCCCTGATAAACCCCCTCATACAACATTGATACCAAAGGACAGGCTGGGCTGCATAATTGTCAACCAACTCCAGAGGCCTGTTTCTGCTTTATCTACATTATCTTAGATGCCCAATCAGTTTGAGCAATGATAAGCAGCAGTAACACAATCTTTGTACCTTGTTTCACTTCAATATAATTTCTAAATTTAATAACCTCTAATAGGCATCATACAGACTATTGAGATTAATATGCTTGCCACTAACTCCCTTGTGCCCGAAGCAATGACATCTGGCAAAGCCAATCTCTAGCATCATCTTTTCCACAGGACTTCTTTGCATCCCACATAGAGTTTATAAGCATTCTTCGGAAATAAAACAGGTGACTGGAAGCAACTCTGTGTCAGGATTAATGCTTTTTTTTTTTTAAAGCATACTTTGCAAAACAATCCATGAATATCAGTTAGCAATCAGAAGACACAAAGAAACTCCCAAAGAAATCCAAAATTCTTGAAAGCTTGGTATTCAGACAAACCATCCATCAATAGACAAATTCGGGAAAACCACATATACACACCATTCAAAGGAGACAATAAAAAAGGTAAAAATACTGAAACGTATCTTCTCTAGCACCCAGCTAAGCAGGAATTAACATGAGATAAATAACTAAGCAGAAAATAATACCCTAATCAAGGAATTACCAAGGACAAAACCATATCCCAACCAATACTGGCAGGACAAACTATTGTATATAAACAGGGAGCAAACCCCACACTCAAAAGCATTGATGATGTTCCAAATTGGGTAACTAAACATCTACAAGCAAAGAATCAAGAGAGCATCAAGGACTCCTAAAAAAGCAAAGTTAAGGTACAGCATTCTAGGGAGTTGGGTGGTGGAACAATTTAACTTGAATGCCTTTCTCCTAAAATGAATAGAATTGTTTTGACCAAGGCATCCAAACTATAATTACGCACATACGTCTTTTAAAAACAAGACTTATTTTATTGCAATGCTGGGAATTGTTTTCATTCCCAGCTGGAATTAATCTCAGACAGCCCCCCAAGATAAGCACACACCGTTCAGTTCTGTGAAGTGCTGCCAAAAACAGAAGTATGAAATGAACCAGAAAAGAAACAAAACCAAGTACAAAAAAACCCAACCAAAGTACAAAGAGCTTCCAGAATGACTCTGAACCGATTGAACTACTTTGCTTCCTGCAAAGGTATTGTCATCTTGGCTTGACCTTTATACCTTATGGAAGGGGCAATCACTTCCCAGCCTTATTCCCGAGTCACCCCTTTTGTTCCAGCTGCTCTTGCCTTCTAGCAGCTCTGTGCACATGCGCACTGGGAACAGGCTTCCCAGGAGTCCTCTGCCTCATTGCTGCCAGGCTCTGAAGGCTCCAAAGGCAGCACCCCACTCCCACATGGTCCTGGCCCCATCTCTGCATCGGATGCAGGACCCTCGTCTGAGTCCTCTCCAGAGTCCCTGATTGGTCCCCATTCTTCCCCACTGTCCGATTCCGCTGCTGTCTGCACTGGCTGCTGCCGAACCACAATAAGAATAGGATAGGATAGGATAGGATAGGATCAGATAGGATAGGATAGGATAGGATAGGATAGGATAGGATAGAATAGAATAGAATAGAATAGAATAGAATAGAATAGAATTCTTTATTGGTCAAGTGTGATTGAACACACAAGGAATTTGTCTTGGTGCATGCACTCTCAGTGTACATAAAAGAAAAGATACATTCGTCAAGAGTCAAGAATCATAAGGTAAAACACTTAATAATAGTCATAGGGTACAACAAGCAATCAAATCATACTAGGAAACAGTCAATATACAGTCATCAGTGGGAGGAGATGGGTGAAAGGAAGGATGGGAAGAGTAATAGTAATGCAGACTTAGTAAATAGTTTGACAGTGTTGAAGGAATTATTTCTTTAGCAGAGTGATGGCGTTTGGGAAAAAACTGTCCTTGTGTCTAGTTGTTCTAGTTTTCTGGACCACAATTACCATGCCACCATCTAGGGCAGAGGTGGGGAATTACAGCCCCTTTATAATTTGTGGACTTCGATTCCCAGAATTCCTGAGCCGGCCATGTCAGTTCAAGAATTCTAGGAGTTGGAGTCTGTAGGTCATAAAAGGGCCATAGTGCTCCATCCCTGATTTAGGATGAAGCTGGGTGCTAGCACTTTATTCTACTTTAGGTTTATGTATAAAGACATACTCAGATTTGTTCTGAATTTCTTCGTTAAATGTTGACTTATTGAGTGTTCGCATCTTTAATCTTATTTTTCTCTTCAACATCACATTTTTTTTGTTCCTTCTCAGCTCAGTCTTTGCACTTATTGTCTGTAGCCTATTAATGAAAAGAGGATCTAAGTCTGCCTTGTCCTACATTTCCCAATTTGTTTACCATGACATGGCCCATTAAACACCATCACACAGGTGTCTTTTATTATTTTATTACATTTCTCTGCAGTCTAGTAACCAAATCTCACAAGCTGATTTATAAAAAAGAACATTAAGTTGTAAAATGCCAGAAACATTCTAACATAGTGCAACACTTAAAATGTATTTAAAAAACCCTCAAATAATAACATGAACATTTTAACAAACAATAACAGATTTTTTTCAAACACAATAAAGAATTAAAACTTCTAGAATACAAATATATACAAATCTCAGTTTTCTCTCAAAAAATTCACATTATTTTGACTTCAATCTTATTCCTTTGATTATTGATTTTATTCAAATGTATTACATTAAAAAGATATTTTAGGAAATGCTTTAGTTACAAGTCCAAAAATTCTGTTCAGCGTCCTTTCTTTTCTAACCTGGGATCTTGTAAATATATTAGCTTTTATTAACAAGGGATGGTTGAGGTTCTAGTTGCAATTCCTAATATTCCTAGGGAATTTACTGAGCTGGATAATCACTAGAGCAACAATCATCAAGCAACAAGACTTATCAAGTTTGGCAATCTGTACATTCCTTTACTTACAGCATCAAGGAGAATATGAAATAGCAATTACAGGCATTGAATGAAGAGGAATAAAAACACTGTGAAGTAATTATTGCGCAAATGAATAAAGCAGAAGCAAAGAATTGTTACCATGAGACACAAATACTCTGCACAGAAAAGATGCACACAAGCAAACCCAAACTATGGTGTTTTTTTAAGAAATTCATTTCTGCCAAGCTCTCAGGAAAAAAAAGGCTGAAGCATTCCCTAGTTACAACGATGATTGGTGTACAATTCAGCCAATGGCTTCTCCCTTCCAGTTCCATGTCCTACAAGAAGAAGAGCATCTCTTGATGACTCATTTGCTTGTATCCAAGTGCAATATAGCAGCATTCTTTTCCCTGTGACGTCTTTTTGTTGAGGTTTCCAATCAACTGCTTTAATCTGGCTGACCTTTCCAGTTTTCAGCCTCTGTCTTGAAGCTATCCTCGCTTGCTTCAAACGCAATTAGGCATGATGACAGGAATATATGTGTATATACGTATGTGTGCGTGCGTGTAACAACACGAGGCTATGAAGGACATTTTGCACCAAAACAGGTAAGACCAGGTAAAATGGCCAAACCAAAAGCTAAAAGCAGATTTTTCCTGATTGCAGAAGGGTTCAGATGAAAAACTCTCCTTGAACCTCACTGGGTCTCAGTGTCTTTTTATGCTAGGACACTCACTGGCTTTCCACTAGTGGTCTTGTTATCAAAAACTGAAAAAAACATCACCCAACATGTACCAGGTTTGATATTTAGTTGAATTTAGTTGAATTTTCAGGTTGAACATCTGTACCTATCCTCTTACAAGGATCAATTCCAAAGCTTCTAAATAAAAGTGTCAGCATTTGGACAGAGCTTCTTGCATCCTGTTTTAGTCATCTAGTTTAGAGCATTATGAGAATCTATCATGCAATTTCTATTGCTTCATTTCAAGCCCTATGAAGTAGAGATAGATATTTGAGATTATGTGGGAATCCTTTCAATAGCAGAACAAATCTGACTGTTGTTTAGCTAATTAAGTGTACGGTTTGTGGGACTCATGGATTTACAGCAAGAGAAAAGAACCTGATTTTGCCCATTTTCAAACGTTAAGCTGAACAAGTCATATCTAAGAACGTGAATGTGACAAAAAGCCAAAATACAAGTGGCAATAAAGAAATATGTATGGACATTAGCTCTGTCCTCAACTGTGGCACTTCAATCTGTGCACATTTCCTGTGGAAATCTGTAGGAGATTTATAAACCTTCAAGCAATCAAAACAATCTTCCTTAAACAAAATTCCCAACTGTAGGCATGTATCTATGTACATTCATCTGAACATGCACACAAGCCCTCCTAGAGAGCTTTATGTGAATCGTAAAGAATGGAGCAGAGAAGAGATCTGATTTACAATGTATTCTGACAGTTCTTGACCCACTTTTAAATCGCCACACATTCAGAAAATTGCTACAACAAAGCTCATATCATTATACAATTTACTTGCATGTAAATTACCAAACCACAAATCATTCTTACAAAATAATAAGAAAGGTTTCCAGCATAAATGCATTTATTATACGCTACTGTCTAATAAA